ATTTTGACTTTTAAAAAATTAATATTTAATTCTGACAGTTTCAGCTATATATAAAGGGTCTGTTTATAAAGAGACAGAATTGATGATTTACCTTTTAATAAAGCAATATTTAATTCTGACAGTTTCAGCTATTTATAAAGAGTCTGTGTATAAAAGGCCAGAACTGATCGTTTGCTTTTCTCTTTTTTTTTTTTAATAATATTTAATTCTGACAGTTTCAGCTATTTATAATGAGTCTGTGTATAAAAGGCCAGAACTCATTTTTTTTTTTTTTTTTTTTAATATTTTCTTTTTAAATATTATTAATATTATTTTTTTAAATATTTTTTTTTTTAAATATTTAATTCTTACAGGTACAGCTATTTATAAAAGGACAGAACTGATCATTTTGACTTTTTAAAATTAATATTTAATTCTGACAGTTTTAGCTATTTATAAAGAGTCTGTGTATAAAAGGCCAAAACTGATCGTTTGCTTTTTTTTTAATATTTTTTTAAATAATATTTAATTTTGACAGTTTCAGCTATTTATAAAAGGCTTATTTATAAAAGGACAGAACTGATCATTTTGACTTTTTAAATTTAATATTTAATTCTGACTGTTTCAGCTATATATAAAGGGTCTGTTTATAAAGAGACAGAATTGATGATTTGCCTTTTAACCCCTTGCCTACCAGGCACTTATACCCCCTTCCTTACCAAGCCAATTTTCAGCTTTCAGCGCTGCCGCACTTTGATTGACAATTGCGCCGTCATGCAACATTGTACCCATATGAAATTTTGATCATTTTTTTCTCACAAATAGCTTCCTTTTGGTGGTATTTAATCGCCACTGGGCGCTTTACTTTTTGCGCTATAAATTAAAAAAGTGCAAAAAATTTGAAAAAAAAAAAAAAAGTTTATTTGTTTCTTTTATAAAATTTTTCAAACAGGTATTTTTTCTCCTTCACTGATTTGCGTTGATGAGGCGGCACTGATGGGCACTGATAGGCGGCACTGATGGGCACTGATAGGCAGCACTAAAGGGCACTGATAGGCAGTACTAATGAGGTGGCACGGATAGGCGGCACTGATAGACAGCACTAATTAGGGGTCACGGATAGGCGGCACTGATATGCAGCACTGATAGGCGGCACTGATAGGTGACACTGATGATGGGTACTGATAGACGGCACTGACTGGAATCACTTCTGGGCACTGACTGGCGGCACTGACTGGCACAACCCCTGGGCACTGACTGGTGGCACTGACTGGCAGCACTGCTGGGCTGCACTGGTGGGTGGCACTGCTGGGCTGCACTGGTGGGTGGGCACAGGTGGGTGGCACTGGTGGGCACAGGTGGGTGGCACTGGTGGGCACAGGTGGGTGGGCACAGGTGGGTGGCACTGCTGGGCACATGTAGGTGGCACTTCTGGGCACAGGTAGGTGGCACTGCAGAGTGGCACAGGTGGGTGCACTGCTGGGCACAGGTGGGGGCACTGCTGGGAACGGGTGGGCGGGGCTAGTGGGCACACTGCTGGGCGGAACTTGCGGGTGTCACTGCTGGGCACCGATCATCAGGGCACTGATCATCAGTGCCCTGATGATCGGTGCCGATCCCCCGCTCTGACAACTGCCGGTTCTCGGCAGTACTTTCCTCACGATCTGACAGCGTGAGGAAAGTGCAGCCGAGAACCGGCACTTGCCTTTCCCTGTGATCAGCGTGTCATTGGACACCGCTGAACACGTGGTAAAAGGCCGGTGGGATCGGCCTTTCACCACATCACGTGATCAGCTGTGTCCGTAGGACACAGCGATCATGGAGATCGCCGGGTGCGCGCCCCCTGGGGCGCGCAGGAGAGCGCGTTCTGGGAGGACGTCATATGACGTCCACTCAGAACTGGCCGGCCGCGGTGAAGCCGTCATTCGGCTATGCGCGGTCGGCAAGAGGTTAATAAAGCAATATTTAATTCTGACAGTTTTAATCATTTACAAAGGGCCTGATATATAAAAGGTCAGAATTGATCATTTACCTTTTATTCAATTTTAAATATTTTAATTCTGTCATTTTTACCGATTTTATAAAGCTGTCCAGCTCAACTTATCTGATCACTTTTTCATTAATCTATTCCATACCAACCTTTTTTATATTCCATTTTTTTTTTTTACACTTTTTCTCTGTGTTATCTCACTGACGCAGCAAATTCCCGTATGAAGTTTTTGTTAAAAAAAAAAAAAAAAAAAAAAAAAAAAAGAAAATGTTAGCAGTAATGTAGGAGGAACGGCACAAAACCTTTTATTTTGTCACATTTTATAAACAGCGGTTCTTAGACTTTGAAACTCGATCTGTAAGGTTTCCGCAACTAACTTGCCGCCGTCTCCTGGATTTGAATTTTAAATGTTTTTCTCCGGAAAAAGCAAAAAAAAAAAAAAAAAAATGTAAAGATAAATTACAGTTTTAATTGGAGTTTTGGTTAGCTTCAGATACAGAACTGCAATGTAATCAGACAGCCGGGGGCCCTTCTGTTGTGTTTGTATCTCTGACCGCAGCGCTGGTAATAGACCCCCGAGGGGTTCGCCTCCTCGGCCAATAAAAAGTATCGCGTATCCTCCATGTAATGCCTCCAGCAACGGCGAGCCGCGTTCAGCTCTGCATGTCATACGATTTACATTTCCAATTTTTAAGGAGAAGTTTTTCAAGAGATCCACTCTTCCCGTCGGGCCAAAAAAAAAAAAGTATTGACAGAAAATTAACCCCTTAACTTCCAGAGCCTTTTTTTTTAAATTTTTTTTATTTTTTAGGGGGGGGGGTCATTTTTCCCCACACATACTAAAATATTAAAACATGAAAATACACTTGAAACCTTTTAAAAGATATTTTAAATATATTTAAATTTTAATTTTTTTTTTTTTTTTCAAAAGCAGGGACCCCCGCAGAATTAATCGGCCACAGTTGCAATTTTTTATACCACGTGATTTTTTTGCTCTACTGTTTTTCAATAAATACGATTTTTTTTTTTTTGGTTCATTTTACCCAAACATACTAAAATAAAAATTTTTTTACATGAAAATACACTTAAAACTTTATAAAACAGCCACAGTTACAATTTTTTATGCCACGTGATTTTTTAATCTGCTGTTTTTCAATAAATATGATTTTTTTTTTTGGTTCATTTTGCCTACACATACTATTTTTTTAGGCCACGTAATTTTTGTGCTGCTGTTTTTCAATAAACACGTTTTTTTTTTCTTGTTTGTTTGTTTTTTTGGTTCATTTGGCCCACACATACTAAAATATACACTTAAACCCTTTAAAAAAACATTTTTTTTTTTTTCTAAAAGCAGGGACCCCCCCCCGTAGAATAAATCAGCCACAGTTGCAATTTTTTCTACCACGTGATTTTTTACTCTGCTGTTTTTCAAAAATACAATTTTTTTTTTGGTTCATTTTGCCCAAACATACTAAAATAAAAATTTTTTTACATGAAAATACACTTAAAACTTTATAAAACGGCCACAGTTGCAATTTTCTATGCCACGTGATTTCTGCGCTGCTGTTTTTCAATAAATATTTTTTTTTGTTGTTTGTTATGCTTTTTGGATCATTTTGCCCACACATACTAAAATATACACTTAAACCTTTTAAAAAAAAATTTTTTTTTCTAAAAGCAGGGACCCCCGTAGAATAAATCGGCCACAGTTGCGATTTTTTTATACCACGTGATTTTTTACTCTGATGTTTTTCAATAAACACTTTTTTTTTTTGTTGTTTGTTTTTTTTTTTTTGGTTCATTTTGTCCACACATACTAAAATATACACTTAAACCTTTTAAAATTTCTATGTAATGTAAGAGACATTCTTCCCACTGACCCCCAATGTAAGGGACATTCTTCCCACTGACCCCCAATGTAAGGAACATTCTTCCCACTGACCCCCAATGTAAGGAACATTCTTCCCACTGACCTCCAATGTAAGGGACATTCTTCCCACTGATCACCAATGTAAGGGACATTCTCCCCACTGACCACCAATGTAAGGGACATTCTTCCCACTGACCACCAATGTAAGGGACATTCTTCCCACTGACCCCCAATGTAAGGGACATTCTTCCCACTGACCCCCAATGTAAGGAACATTCTTCCCACTGATCACCAACCAATGTAAGGGACATTCTTCCCACTGATCACCAATGTAAGGGACATTCTTCCCACTGACCCCCAATGTAAGGGACATTCTTCCCACTGACCCCCAATGTAAGGGACATTCTTCCCACTGACCCCCAATGTAAGGGACATTCTTCCCACTGACACCAATGTAAGGGACATTCTTCCCACTGACCCCCAGTGTAAGGGACATTCTTCCCACTGACCCCCAATGTAAGGGACATTCTTCCCACTGACACCAATGTAAGGGACATTCTTCCCACTGACCCCCAATGTAAGGGACATTCTTCCCACTGACCCCCCAATGTAAGGGACATTCTTCCCACTGATCCCCAATGTAAGGGACATTCTTCCCACTGACACCAATGTAAGGGACATTCTTCCCACTGACCCCCAATGTAAGGGACATTCTTCCCACTGACCCCCAATGTAAGGGACATTCTTCCCACTGACCACCAATGTAAGGGACATTCTTCCCACTGATCCCCAATGTAAGGGACATTCTTCCCACTGACCACCAATGTAAGGGACATTCTTCCCACTGACCCCCAATGTAAGGGACATTCTTCCCACTGACCACCAATGTAAGGGACATTCTTCCCACTGATCACCAATGTAAGGGACATTCTTCCCACTGATCACCAATGTAAGGGACATTCTTCCCACTGACCACCAATGTAAGGGACATTCTTCCCACTGATCACCAATGTAAGGGACATTCTTCCCACTGATCACCAATGTAAGGGACATTCTTCCCACTGATCCCCAATGTAAGGGACATTCTTCCCACTGACCACCAATGTAAGGGACATTCTTCCAACTGACCCCCAATGTAAGGGACATTCTTCCCACTGACCACCAATGTAAGGGACATTCTTCCCACTGATCACCAATGTAAGGGACATTCTTCCCACTGATCACCAATGTAAGGGACATTCTTCCCACTGACCCCCAATGTAAGGGACATTCTTCCCACTGACCCCCAATGTAAGGGACATTCTTCCCACTGACCCCCAATGTAAGGGACATTCTTCCCACTGATCCCCAATGTAAGGGACATTCTTCCCACTGACCCCCAATGTAAGGGGCATTGTTCCCACTGACCCCCAATGTAAGGGACATTCTTCTCACTGATCACCCAATGTAAGGGACATTCTCCCCACTGACCCCCAATGTAAGGGACATTCTTCCCACTGACCCCCAATGTAAGGGACATTCTTCCCACTGACCCCCAATGTAAGGGACATTCTTCCCACTGACCCCCAATGTAAGGGACATTCTTCCCACTGACCACCAATGTAAGGGACATTCTTCTCACTGATCACCAATGTAAGGGACATTCTCCCCACTGACCCCCAATGTAAGGGACATTCTTCCCACCGACCACCAATGTAAGGGGCATTCTTCTCACTGACCACCAATGTAAGGGACATTCTTCCCACTGACCCCCCAATGTAAGGGACATTCTTCCCACTGACCCCCAATGTAAGGGACATTCTTCCCACTAATCACCAATGTAAGGGACATTTCTTCCCACTAATCACCAATGTAAGGGACATTCTTCCCACTGACCACCAATGTAAGGGACATTCTTCCCACTGACCACCAATGTAAGGGACATTCTTCCCACTGACCCCCAATGTAAGGGACATTCTTCCACCGATCACCAATGTAAGGGACATTTCTTCCCACTGACCACCAATGTAAGGGACATTCTTCCCACTGACCCCCAATGTAAGGGACATTCTTCCCACTGACCACCAATGTAAGGGACATTCTTCCCACTGACCCCCAATGTAAGGGACATTCTTCCCACTGATCACCAATGTAAGGGACATTCTTCCCACTGACCCCCAATGTAAGGGACATTCTTCCCACTGATCACCAATGTAAGGGACATTCTTCCCATTGACCCCCAATGTAAGGGACATTCTTCCCACTGACCCACAATGTAAGGGACATTCTTCCCACTGACCCACAATGTAAGGGACATTCTTCCCACTGACCCCCAATGTAAGGGACATTCTTCCCATTGACCCCCAATGTAAGGGACATTCTTCCCACTGACCCACAATGTAAGGGACATTCTTCCCACTGACCCCCAATGTAAGGGACATTCTTCCCACTGACCACCAATGTAAGGGACATTCTTCCCACTGACCCCCAATGTAAGGGACATTCTTCCCACTGATCCCCATTGTAAGGGACATTCTTCCCACTGATCCCCAATGTAAGGGACATTCTTCCCACTGATCCCCAATGTAAGGGACATTCTTCCCACTGATCCCCATTGTAAGGGACATTCTTCCCACTGACCCCCAATGTAAGGAGCATTCTTCCCACTGATCCCCAATGTAAGGGACATTCTTCCCACCGACCACCAATGTAAGGGACGTTCTTCCCACTGACCACCAATGTAAGGGACGTTCTTCCCACTGACCACCAATGTAAGGGATGTTCTTCCCACTGACCACCAATGTAAGGGACGTTCTTCCCACTGACCACCAATGTAAGGGACATTCTTCCCACTGACCCCCAATGTAAGGGACATTCTTCCCACTGACCCCCAAATGTAAGGAACATTCTTCCCACTGATCACCAACCAATGTAAGGGACATTCTTCCCACTGATCACCAATGTAAGGGACATTCTTCCCACTGACCACCAATGTAAGGGACATTCTTCCCACTGACCACCAATGTAAGGGATGTTCTTCCCACTGACCCCCAATGTAAGGGACATTCTTCCCACTGACCACCAATGTAAGGGACATTCTTCCCACTGACCACCAATGTAAGGGACATTCTTCCCACTGACCACCAATGTAAGGGACATTCTTCCCACTGACCCCCAATGTAAGGGACGTTCTTCCCACTGACCACCAATGTAAGGGACGTTCTTCCCACTGACCACCAATGTAAGGGACGTTCTTCCCACTGACCACCAATGTAAGGGACGTTCTTCCCACTGACCACCAATGTAAGGGACGTTCTTCCCACTGACCACCAATGTAAGGGACATTCTTCCCACTGACCACCAATGTAAGGGACGTTCTTCCCACTGACCACCAATGTAAGGGACGTTCTTCCCACTGACCACCAATGTAAGGGACGTTCTTCCCACTGACCACCAATGTAAGGGACGTTCTTCCCCACTGACCACCAATGTAAGGGACGTTCTTCCCACTGACCACCAATGTAAGGGACATTCTTCCCACTGACCACCAATGTAAGGGGCATTCTTCCCACTGACCCCCAATGTAAGGGGCATTCTTCCCACTGACCCCCAATGTAAGGGACATTCTTCCCACTGACCACCAATGTAAGGGACATTCTTCCCACTGACCTCCAATCAATTTGTTTTACTTGGGGTTCCTTATGGGCGGGGTCTCTAAATTTTTCAAACAAAAGACCACTCTGTGTCTTTTCAGGCTTTAAGAGGGCCAACTTCAGTGGGAGGAATAGTGCCCCATCATTGGTATCAGTGGGGGGAATAGTGCTCCATCATTGGTATCAGTGGGGGGAATAGTGCCCCATCATTGGTGTCAGTGGGAGGAATAGTGCCCCATCATTGGTGTCAGTGGGAGGAATAGTGTACCATCATTGGTATCAGTGGGAGGAATAGTGCCCCATCATTGGTATCAGTGGGGGGAATAGTGTCCCATCATTGGTGTCAGTGGGAGGAATAGTGCCCCATCATTGGTATCAGTGGGGGGAATAGTGCTCCATCATTGGTGTCAGTGGGAGGAATAGTGCCCCATCATTGGTGTCAGTGGGAGGAATAGTGCCCCATCATTGGTGTCAGTGGGAGGAATAGTGTCCCATCATTGGTGTCAGTGGGAGGAATAGTGCCCCATCATTGGTGTCAGTGGGAGGAATAGTGTCCCATCATTGGTGTCAGTGGGAGGAATAGTGCCCCATCATCGGTATCAGTGGGGGGAATAGTGCCCCATCATTGGTATCAGTGGGGGGAATAGTGCTCCATCATTGGTGTCAGTGGGGGGAATAGTGCTCCATCATTGGTGTCAGTGGGAGGAATAGTGTACCATCATTGGTATCAGTGGGAGGAATAGTGCCCCATCATTGGTATCAGTGGGAGGAATAGTGCCCCATCATTGGTGTCAGTGGAAGGAATAGTGCCCCATCATTGGTATCAGTGGGAGGAATAGTGCTCCATCATTGGTATCAGTGGGAGGAATAGTGCCCCATCATTGGTGTCAGTGGAAGGAATAGTGCCCCATCATTGGTATCAGTGGGGGGAATAGTGCTCCATCATTGGTGTCAGTGGGAGGAATAGTGCCCCATCATTGGTATCAGTGGGGGGAATAGTGCTCCATCATTGGTGTCAGTGGGAGGAATAGTGCCCCATCATTGGTGTCAGTGGGAGGAATAGTGCCCCATCATTGGTGTCAGTGGGAGGAATAGTGTCCCATCATTGGTGTCAGTGGGAGGAATAGTGCCCCATCATTGGTGTCAGTGGGAGGAATAGTGTCCCATCGTTGGTATCAGTGGGAGGAATAGTGCCCCATCGTTGGTGTCAGTGGGAGGAGTAGTGCCCCATCATTGGTGTCAGTGGGAGGAGTAGTGCCCCATCATTGGTGTCAGTCGGAGGAGTAGTGCCCCACCATTGGTGTCAGTGGGAGGAATAGTGCCCCATCATTGGTGTCAGTGGGAGGAATAGTGCCCCATCATTGGTATCAGTGGGAGGAGTAGTGCCCCATCATTGGTGTCAGTCGGAGGAGTAGTGCCCCACCATTGGTGTCAGTGGGAGGAATAGTGCCCCATCATTGGTGTCAGTGGGAGGAATAGTGCCCCATCATTGGTGTCAGTGGGAGGAATAGTGTCCCATCATTGGTGTCAGTGGGAGGAATAGTGCCCCATCATTGGTGTCAGTGGGAGGAATAGTGCCCCATCATTGGTGTCAGTGGGAGGAATAGTGTCCCATCATTGGTGTCAGTGGGAGGAATAGTGCCCCATCATTGGTGTCAGTGGGAGGAATAGTGCCCCATCATTGGTGTCAGTGGGAGGAATAGTCTCTCATCATTGGTGTCAGTGGGAGGAATAGTGCCCCATCATTGGTGTCAGTGGGAGGATTAGTGCCCCATCATTGGTGTCAGTGGGAGGAGTAGTGCCCCATCATTGGTGTCAGTGGGAGGAGTAGTGCCCCATCATTGGTGTCAGTGGGAGGAATAGTGCCCCATCATTGGTGTCAGTGGGAGGAATAGTGCCCCATCATTGGTGTCAGTGGGGGGAATAGTGTCCCATCATTGGTGTCAGTGGGAGGAATAGTGCCCCATCATTGGTGTCAGTGGGAGGAATAGTGCCCCATCATTGGTGTCAGTGGGAGGAATAGTGCCCCATCATTGGTGTCAGTGGGAGGAATAGTCTCTCATCATTGGTGTCAGTGGGAGGAATAGTGCCCCATCATTGGTGTCAGTGGGAGGATTAGTGCCCCATCATTGGTGTCAGTGGGAGGAGTAGTGCCCCATCATTGGTGTCAGTGGGAGCAATAGTGCCCCATCATTGGTGTCAGTGGGAGGAATAGTGCCCCATCATTGGTGTCAGTGGGAGGATTAGTGCCCCATCATTGGTGTCAGTGGGAGGATTAGTGCCCCATCATTGGTGTCAGTGGGAGGAGTAGTGCCCCACCTTGCGTCCCTATAAGACTCCATTTTCCTCTCTAATTTAAGCGGTTTAGTGAAATTATGTTTTAAAGCCCAAATGAACTTTCAGTTTTAGCTTTTTTATTATTATTATTATTATTATTATACAGGATTTCTATTGCGCCATCAGCGACTTTTAGCGAGATTTTAAAGGGCATTCTGACACATGGGGGGGGGGACTGACTTGGTGTCACTGACACCCCCAGTGACACCAATACAGCGAGCAGTGCTAATAAAAAGCACCAACACTGTAATAATCACAATGGGCAGGAAGGGGTTCACATGAGGAGCGATCAAAGGGTTACCTGTGCGCTGTGTGTGTTTCACTGTACGCATGCTGCTATGCAGAGCCATACAAAGGCCCCCGTCGGTAGTCTGGAGAGAGGGGATATAGCGAATGCGGGGTCCGGGGAGAGCGGATATACTGAATGCGGGGTCCGGGGAGAGCGGATATAGTGAATGCGGGGTCCGGGGAGAGCGGATATACTGAATGCGGGGTCCGGGGAGAGCGGATATAGTGAATGCGGGGTCCGGGGAGAGGGGATATAGTGAATGCGGGGTCCGGGGAGAGCGGATATAGTGAATGCGGGGTCCGGGGAGAGCGGATATAGCGAATGCGGGGTCCGGGGAGAGCGGGGTATAGTGAATGCGGGGTCCGGGGAGATTGGATATAGTGAATGCGGGGTCCGGGGAGAGCGGATATAGTGAATGCGGGGTCCTGGGAGAGCGGGTATAGTGAATGCGGGGTCCGGGGAGAGCGGATATAGTGAATGCGGGGTCCGGGGAGAGCGGATATAGTGAATGTGGGGTCCGGGGAGAGGGGATATAGTGAATGCGGGGTCCGGGGAGAGCGGATATAGTGAATGCGGGGTCCGGGGAGAGCGGATATAGTGAATGCGGGGTCCGGGGAGAGCGGATATAGTGAATGCGGGGTCCGGGGAGAGGGGATATAGTGAATGCAGGGTCCGGGGAGAGCGGATATAGTGAATGCAGGGTCCGGGGAGAGCGGATATAGTGAATGCGGCGTCCGGGGAGAGCGGGTATAGTGAATGCGGGGTCCGGGGAGAGCGGATATAGTGAATGTGGGGTCCGGGGAGAGCGGATATAGTGAATGCGGGGTCCGGGGAGAGCGGATATAGTGAATGCGGGGTCCGGGGAGAGCGGATATAGTGAATGCGGGGTCCGGGGAGAGCGGATATAGTGAATGCGGGGTCCGGGGAGAGCGGATATAGTGAATGCGGGGTCCGGGGAGAGGGGATATAGTGAATGAGGGGTCCGGGGAGAGCGGATATAGTGAATGCAGGGTCCGGGGAGAGCGGATATAGTGAATGCGGGGTCCGGGGAGAGCGGATATAGTGAATGCGGGGTCCGGGGAGAGCGGATATAGTGAATGCGGGGTCCGGGGAGAGCGGATATAGTGAATGCAGGGTCCGGGGAGAGCGGATATAGTGAATGCGGGGTCCGGGGAGAGCGGATATAGTGAATGCGGGGTCCGGGGAGAGCGGATATAGTGAATGCGGCGTCCGGGGAGAGCGGGGTATAGTGAATGCGGGGTCCGGGGAGAGCGGGTATAGTGAATGCGGGGTCCGGGGAGAGCGGATATAGTGAATGCGGGGTCCGGGGAGAGCGGATATAGTGAATGCGGGGTCCGGGGAGAGCGGATGTAGTGAATGCGGGGTATATATGAGAAATATTTTTATAATATATGTTTTTTTTAAATATATTCTTAAAATTTTAACATATAAAAAAAATAATTTTAAGATTTTTTTTTTTACATAAATTCCCAAAATGTGCTACTAATGACTATATCTACATCACATGATACATTATTGTGACGATCAGGGGGCAGAATGCATACCTATAGGGGTAGCAGGGGTCACAAATGCGACCAGCCCCATGCTGCAGGGGTCCCATGTGGCCCCTCTATACCTGGATAAGAGGAGCAATGGGTGGCAGCTCCTTATAGAGGAACTGATCTCTCCATGTTCCTCCTTCTGAATACCTGCAGGAGGGTGTGGAGGAGAAGCATTCAACGGCCGCAGGAGGAAAATGGAGAGACCAGTTCAGGATGCTCTTTCCAGCTTTTTTTTCTGCTGCCCCCCTGAGCTCTTTCCTGGCCCCCGCAGCTCACTTAGGCTCCGCCCTCCATTCTCGGAGGTCCTGTCAACATGGAGGGTGGGTCA